CTGTGTGAGTTCCACATTGCCTATTATCAATTATACTGATCTCACTTACACGCTATCGACTTACCTTGGCTCCTTAGTGTTATCTATTGCTCAACTTTTAACCGTGATACTCTTTATATCTCCTGCTTAGCTAGTTAAGTACATCTTCCCCACTACATTCTAAATGCTTATATCTTGTTTGAAAATTCTTACTATTTCTCCATAACTGTTAACTATATAGCATTGATGCATAACCAATGGTTCATATGTTGTAACAGCCAGACGAGTTTGTGAAAGGAACTTGCAGAAATAGTGTTTCTCAACAGGATGCAAGACATAGAACACCAAGTAGAACTCAATGGCTTCTTTTAAACATTTAACACGAGCCTAACAACACAAAAGAAGGAGGGTGGAGTTACTGACCAGAAAACTTTGATGGTATGGGCGATAACTTCAAACAACCCATGTTTGTGGGGCAGAACATTTTGTTTGCTTTCGGCTCTTCAGATTGATGAGACGACTAATCAGTAACACTGAGGTTGCTCTTATACGCTTGCTACTTCTGAGGTTCATGTTTCCAAAACTATACTGAGGTCGCTATTCTGTCGAGACACCCGCAACATTCTTACTCAGGCGCTTACAGTATGACTTAGAGGTTGGCATTCAATAATAATAATAAAAAAAACAGACAGTGCGAGATTTTATTCATCAAAGTTTTCATTTTAAAAACTCTACTCTTTCGATTTCAACGTACATAAATCCAGCTTCTTACTTCGACTTCTCTTCTATCCACCTGACACTGCACAACTCTTCCTTCTTTTTGCTGTACTCCTTTATCTGTGTGTTATTTTTTTTTATTCCCATAATTTAATTTAATTTAAGTGGTCAGTATGAATTTTATCTTGACTTACTACTGTATTGACTACTTCGACATGACAGATTAAGTAGTGCTTTGGTTATATACATACACTTGCCACACTGTTGCCTTTCTCTCTCTCTCTTTTCTCCTTTTCAGAACCCCATTCACGGTGGGAAATCCTTGGCAACTCTAGGGAACATGAACCCTATGTACATGACTGTCTGGATCACAGCTCGTATCAAGCGCGTTCCATATGACCTTTCCTAACAAATTCACCATTGATCTCGGCAAATCGCCGAAAGAACCTATTGTGCACCTTCCTTCCTTATTTGTACTCTACTATTGAAAATGTGGCTGTATAATACTGTTTCTGTCAGTGACATGGTGTAAATATGCAATCAGAAACTGACTCTTATACTTACTTTAACTGCTATAACTTTAGAGTAATTGTGAAAGCATTTGTGACAATTTGATCTAGCCTGTAAACTGGCGTGACTCTTTTAACGTAGTTATTTGAGAATAAATATATTATTGTTATCTTTAGTAGCCCTAATAGTAAAAGTAGTGGTACTCTTGTAAATGTATTTTCTACCGGAGCAGTTCAATTCGATTCCAATAGACGAATGTTGAACGCGCCTTCTCGTGGTCGAATATCAAAACACAATAATTCTAGGAGAAAGTGGTCTATTTATATAAAAGAAATGGAAATACAAACGTTACCTAACAATTGTTACGTCTTCCAATTCGAAATTACTCTGATGAGTATCCGGGTTCCAAAGACTAGGTGAAACTAGTATACTGCAACGATATCAAATCCAAAAATGTGGCTGTAGCCATATTATATCAAATTTAAACAACATGTGTACAGTTCAGAAGCAAACACAAAATATAGAAAGAATAACAATATACAATGATAAAATCTCAAAATGGAATCAAATAAAATACCAAAAATGTCAACAGAAAGAGTCCGTCATGTCATAACGAAAATATGTAAACATGGAGAGATATTCCAAAACACAAAACATTCAAAAAGGATTCTACACCGGCCCGCAAAATCCCTCCATGCAAAAAGGCAAGCGTATATTGTAGAATCCTTTTTGAATGTTTTGTTTTTTGATCTAGCCTGTAAACTGGCGTGACACTTGTAACGTAGTTATTTGAGAATAAATATATATATTATCAAGTGAGTTTACCGGTTTTGAATAGTGTTACTAATACTGTTCTTTCATCTAGCGGAATGAATTACAGAACATTGGAAGTGTTTCACTCTACGATTGCTAGTGATAGCAGAAACAACGTGACTGGTCCGATAGACATGAATCATGATGGCGATGATTATAATGTTGATATCGCTGATCAGTCAAATGATTTGTCGACGATGGTGAAAGCTGATCAAACCTCCTCTGTACTAGGAGATGGAGAATTGAATCTTGTTCCTACATCATGCCATTCATAGTCTCCAGGAGACGAGGAAATGTCAAAACTGGAGAGCCCACACTTGCGTATTATTTATGGGTCAAGGATTTCTTTTAATAGGTCGGCATCAATGACTTTATTGTGCCTGCCTTTCGGAGCAACTGGTGGTGGATTGACGATTCATGCTCCTCATAATGCGGAGAGTAAACCCCGAAAAGGATGTGACCAGCCCTACGACGTGTCATATATGTCCGTGGGGTTTAACTGGATGAAGTTTATACGACCTTTAGGTCATGCTACGATAGAGAGAGGGATCAAGAACCTAATGGAAAGGTACATGTGCATAGTGAGCCTGATAGATCATATGCATGCGGAAGGGCAGGTAGGCGTACTGCTGTAAGTCCGACTCGTACTTCTGGTGTGGATAAGGTTATGAGAGTGAACTGAGGCATATAAAAGGCTTTGCTTTGTATAGAGGGATTTAGCAGGCCGGTGTAGAATCCATTCTGAATGCTTTGTTTTGGGAAAATCCCTCCATGTACATATTTGTAATATGTTCTTACTGACTCTTTCTGTGCTACATTTTGATTCTCTATTCAAGCCCATTTTGGGATGTTATTATTTGTATTTTGTTATCGTTTCTATTTTTGTACCTTTATTGGAGTTTCTATGTTTTCTAGTGAACTGTATTATGTTGTTTAAGTTGATACTTAATTATGGCTACAGCCATATCCGAATTGATACCCTGGAGGGTAAAACGTGAATCTGGACTGGAAGGGTGCAATTTCGGTCATAAACGGAAGCATTCTTCCAGAATCGGAAACACATTGTGTTAAAGTGTTTTAAAAAACAGTGCAATATTGTTTAGGTAATTATCTGTAAATTTTTATCAATAATGGAACCGTTTCTTACCCAGATAAATTGCTTTCGTTTTGGGACTTCCGGGCAAGGCCCGTATCTAAACTTCTAGAACTGTTTTTCCGAATTCCGAATCCATTCTAAAGCTTACAAACGTTCAGAATATAAGTTACCGGAAAGCGTCACTCTTGAATCATTTCAGTGATATTGGTGATAAACGGTATCTGTGTTGTGATGGAGGTGACAGTGTCGTCTTCACTTTCAGGAGCGGCGCTTGATTGCGTTATGGTTCTCAATCACGGTCAAATATCCAGACCGTTAAGTGAACCGCACAGGTTGTAAATTCTTGGATGTTGTGTTGGCTGTAAACAACATTGATTCCTTTGTACATTTTATTCCGAGCCTAATTCGAGATCGATATACGATACTTCCATTTGAGTCCCCGCAGGTTTTCCTGAATTTAATACTGGTTCATACGTGTAAGATGAAATTGGAAATTTTAGGCGTTACTGTTTAGTATACGGTAAACAATTACTTCAGAATATCGCAGGATATAATATAAACATACATATATACCGGAATCATCCGTTAGATAAGAGATTCTAAGGAACAACACTGTATGTGATGGAAATTATATAAGTCAGTTGATCGGGGCAGTTTGTTTGGTAGCTGTATCCGTTGTTTTGATGATATATTGCTGCAGTTAGGTCTGTTTTGCTAAAAATTAGTTATGAACTAGCTGTAATGTCGCTTCAGATCATATATGGATCTACTAACCATAATAAGCATGCTAAACAAGTATCATATGATGGACCACATATCACCAAGCATCATAAACAGAAGATAACCACCAGAAGAAATTACGAAACACAAAAGGGGTATCAATAAAATGGAGGTTTCAGGTGGTTAGCCTTTCAACAAAGTATAAATTTGGTAAATAAGTCTTTAAAACATATAAATTTCAGCGTGCCTTTTCGATTGATGCTAAACTCAATTGTAGATGAATCAACCTAATGAACTCGACCTTGCAAACGCACGTGACAACGATTGGATTCGCCTTACTAAGCACTCGCTCTCATCAGCTTAGATCATGAGCTACCAGATATACTTTCTGTTTCCTTCGTTCATTACTTATGGCTCAACTTGGTATTGGTAATCTGGATTAGAGGGGTGTTGCATATCAAAGCGTCGTCAAACTGAATATCCGTGACATCAGTAATAAGCCTGACGTGAGAAAATCTGATCACATATGAGATATTATTGAGTGTTTTCATTGCTCTCGACCCATTTCGATACTCATAAAATTATAAATTCCATTTATCTTCATAGTTAAACTTTCACTAACTTCTTCATCAAGCTCATCAGTGTTGTAACAGATGAGTTGACGCATATCGGTTAGAGTTTAGAGCAGAACAGAAGTCAAGCTAGGGTACACCTGCGTTCGGTTCAAAATATGCTTTAAAGAGCTAAGATCTTATCAATAAAAGTCGTTCTTAAGTTTCGGCTAAAACCAGCACCTAGGAAAGCATTCTCTGGACTCTATGAATACAGCTAGCTCATGAGCACATACATCACCTTTATTTTAACAGTTGGTGATGACGACGTAGCCAACGGATCGCTTCAAAATGTCAAATACATTCTTTGTAACCAATGGCAAACAGGATATGTATTGAAGGTTACGCACCAGATATCTTCGCATTATTTCCAGTTTTTTAGGGGCAAATATAAGTGTTTTAACTTTTTAACATCAACAAATCATCTATAACGTCCAAAATATACTCCTTAAAAGCCACAAACGTCGTCAAATCTGCTAAACAATGGGTTAAGGATATTGGATGTTGGGGTAATGTAGTGAGGCTTATTTGAATTTGAGGGCAGCTGATGGCTGATGGCATCTCGAAAACCAAACGCGAGTGCAGTGAAAGCACTTCAAAAAGAACTTAAAGATTTAAATGAGTTCCCAGTAGAAGGATTTAAAGTGATGGTTTCCGAGGAAGAGAACATTTTTGTCTGGGATGTCGCCATATTTGGGCCACCGATGACTTTATATGAGGGAGGTTACTTCAAGGTAAGTGATTCATTTTTCACATATTTTTTCAGGCACGGTTATGTTTCCCTGACGACTATCCATATAGTCCACCTACAATGCATTTTATTAGCAGGATGTATCACCCTAATATATATGAAAATGGTGAAGTCTGCATATCGATTTTGCATTCCCCAGGTGATGACCCTCAGAGTGGCGAGCTTCCATCTGAGAGATGGAATCCGACACAAAATGTCAGGTTCGCATAAATTCCACTCACCTCATTCGTTTAAGGACGATTCTTTTGAGTGTTATTTCATTACTGAATGAACCTAACATCCATTCAGCTGCTCATGTCGATGCGTCAGTAGCTTACAGGAAATGGAAAGAGTCCAATGGGACTCAAGATGAATACGAACGTGTGGTTACGTAAGTTTTAGATCATTTTTTTACGGATTAAGGATTTGAAGTATAAAGCAACCGATTATTCTCATAATGAGCATGAATTCATATTTTTCTTCTCAATTACTGACCCTCTCCTAAATTCATTGTAGTTTTCATGTTTTCATTACAATTTTTACCTTCACGTTGTGGTCCTCATCGTTCGTTCGTCCAATGACAAAAAATACTGGCTATGATATTAGTTTAATTCTTCATTTACATTAAATTGTATTCACTTTCATGTAACACTCGTCTCATGTTAAAGAAGTAGTTACGATTCGAAAGTCAAATTTGTCGATGATCATTGACCTAGTTTGAGCGTTCATGAAAATGCTACAGCGTTGCTTACCGTATTGTCTCGCTGCGGGTCTTTTCTTTGAAATACAAAAATGCTAGTGCATATGTTTTGTATATGCTTAAATCAGTCACTTATGTTTTCCGTAACTGACTGGAGCAATTATACATTTAGGACCAAGAACACGACACCGAAATGATCTACATAGTCTGCAAACCTTCATTATTTCAGAGCAGGCTTCACTTGGATTCAACCGGCACTTAGGTTACCTGCTATAAGTTTGGTAAATTGGCGCTGGTCTTAGAGACTCAGGAGCATGACCGCAGAGTCCTAGAGATAGCTGCTTGAGTCCCGTCACGCACGGCCTTTTTATGGGTAGTATTTAAAGTGTTAGCATCGTTCCTGTTTAAAACGCCTTACTACTGGTGACGGAAATCCGTGAGGTAAGGTGGGGTTTGACATTTTTAGGGTCGACCTTTTTTAACCCTTCCTTCCTTGTGAAAAGGCAGCATCGCTGCAGATGTTGGTTTTTCGGGGGAAACACCTTGCTATTGTCACACCCCTCTACAGTAGTCAGCAGTACGACTTCGCCTTTAGACCGTGAGTTCGGGCCTGTTATATTTTTTATTGCTAACCCGGATTTCACAGTTTAGGATTGCTTGGCGTATAAACGTCTCGCAATGGTCTCTCTTGTTATAGCTTCAACTAGTACAAACTATTGTCATGGCTACCACCAATGCTATGTACCTGCCGTTTTAGATTAGATTCGTATGTAGTCTCACTGCACCAGCGTCCACTTTTTTGTTTAGTTACAACCATTAACCAAAGTATTAAATTTGACTCATCAAATACTGATTACCGGGCTGTAAACTAATATGACTCCAAATGTCCGATAGTACTATTAAAACGGATGTTTATTCTCTGGTGTAATTATTACTCAGAGGTACTTGGAAGTAGTTCCGTTCATATAGCTGTTTTATTAAATTAGAGCAACTTAATAAAGTGACGAATTTATATGCTAGTATTCGATCATAGATGTCTTAGAAGCATCGCTTGTATATCGTGGGACCACCGAGTAAGCAGTGCTGTCGTCAGGAAACAAGTACTAGGTAAGGATGGCAGATCAATAGATGAAGTGGTGAAACTTCATCAGTTGCGGTGGTTGGGACATGTGTTACGAATGCCTAACCACCGACTACCTCGACGAGCTATGTTTTGCGGTGTGGGAGTAGGTTGGAAGAAAGTTAGGGTTGGCCACACCAAAACATGGCAGGAATCCCTGAAATCACTGACTAGTGGACTAAGTCATGTTGGTAGATGTAGGCTACCTGGTTGGGGTCCGCGAGACGAAAGTCACCGATGGTTAGAGACCTTGAACGACATGGCTCAAAATCGTTTGCAATCGCGCAAGTGCATCCATTCGTTGTGCTCTCTCAAATTCTTATCTTCTGGATTCGTCAGCACCCCTACCTTTGTCTTTCTAACCTTATCTCACTGAATTATACTTGTTGAATGATATCGTCGAACCCTAGTCTTCTTCATTACCATTAATACCTTTACTATGTTTATTACTATGGGATTTGATTTGACATTTGCGTCTCTGTGCTAATGTGGTATGGCAACATGAACTTATGTACATACGTACGAAGTTCTACGTTGCAACTGACTGACTTATATACTATTGAAATCATCCTTGCACTTTTGCGTCAAACTTCTTTTGATGCTGTTGGTTATATAATTGTTTGTGAACTGTTAGTAGTTCTTCATTTTTAATGTAAATGTAATCTTGGTCATGCGTTTCACAGGTTGGATTTCTTCTAATCTAATTTTTATTGGTTTTCTCAATATCTTTTCCTTACTTTAGATCACTTGTCAAAGCAACTCACGAGGAGGCCAAACAAGATGGAGTTACGGTTCCTACCACTCTTGAGGAATACTGTATTAGTGGTAGACCTGTGTCTAAAACACTTTATCAGTGCGGTGACCTAGACGAATTATCCAATTATGATGATCATGACGAGTACTATGGTTCTGATGATGATGACGATGATAATATATCAGTAGATGTGAAGGAAGATGAGATCATATCTACCAAAGAGTCTCACTCGTCTACAAAGATAGATTCTGGAGTGGAAGATCCCTGTATAAGTAAGACGAAGCTTGGTGAATCTTCGAGAGTTGTCGACCACAGGTTATCGAATGAATGTGGTCGCGTTACGTCACCAAGCTAATTTACTCGTTTTTCTTTGAGTGTGGGAGTTTTAATCGTCATTTTATACATTTTCTTGACCAAAATAACAAAGATTATTGAAATAAGTCTTATGGTTTAAAAATGCTATTTTCAAAGGGAAACAACTTCAGACCCAGATTTTCTTGACTTATACTATTCTACATTCAATGGTATACAATCTATCGAATGTAAAAGATTTTGAGTAATTTTGTAAATCGGTTATTTTATTATTTTGGGCACTATGTACATGACAACTATCAATACTGTTTCCGCTTCTCTTTTCTAGTTTGTAATAGTTAGACGAATATGCACAGATAAAACTCCTGTACATTTTTTACTTATATTAGAGTCGCATTTGAAACTTGCTAAAAAACGCTAACCATAAAAAACAACAACTTAATTTACTTGTATTGGGCTTCCATTATTCACTGATCTTCGTCTTCAAGTTTATCACTACTTAGAAAAGCGTAAACTAAGCTCCTGTACAAAATTTACCACATTGTTTACGTGGTATTATTTGGTATTATTTCTGATTTGCTTTTACATGTCACTAATTCCATAAAATCGGAGACTAATTATTTCGTGTATTGATGAGTTTTTTCCAGTTGATTGACATTTCTGTCATCAGTCAATGGTCAATGGCATGGATTTCGCCATAAGAATTAGTTCATTTTCTATGTTTCAGTTTCCTCATGTTTTGAGGATGGTGAAGATTTGTATCCCAGTAAGACAATGTGTAGTTATCGTATTGTCGCATAAGATCATTCGATTCGGGTAACGTAATATCACCCAGATAATTTGAACATACCGTTGATTGTATGGTCTATAACGATATTCAAGGGGAAAACTTATTGCTTTGAAAGTTATAATATTGGACTGTGACATTGTTTTCTTCAATTGGCTAGAAGAGTTATCTAAGGTGAATGTCAGATCTGAATCATAGTCCTAAGACTTATAATACGTAAATACAGTTGATAAACGAGAATCTCCTCATAAAATGGATTTGTCTGACTACTATAGTTTCGTTTGGTTAGATCAGTCAGACGTTATTCATGGTTATTGAAAAAAGGATTCCAGTTCTTATAAACGTGAACGATTAGTGATCAAAACCGACACAATGGAATAGCACTCAACCGACTAGATCTGTTACTTCATTTAGTTTAATAAGAAGCATACACTGAGCTTGATAAACACCACGAGTTCCTCCTTCAAATCCTTCTACTGACTCCACTCTAGTTGTATATTAGTTTGTCACAAAAGGACTTTTGTCCGTTCTTGTAGCTTGGGACAATCAGTGATTGAGACTAGTCAGATGGTATTACGACCATTTCCCAGATTCACCTTATGATCTCAGTCAATCTAGCTGATAAAGCTGGACCACCGTCCTTAAAAATCTCAGGTATTGGCCTATTAGGACCTGCTGCTCTACCTCGCTTCAGATTTCCTATCGCTTTCTCAACTTCATGAAGACTAGGAGGACTTTTTTATCGATTAGCCATTCAGGTTGACTGTAGAGTGTGGGCAACCGAAGTGTGTCTGAGGATCAATGAAACTCGTCCCTAAAGTATTCTGCCCATCGATCCAATATCCTGGATTGAGAATGAATAATAAGGCCGTCCGCTTCCGAAATAGTCTCGCTGACAGTCGAATTCTTAATGCTTGTTTCCTTGACAAGTTCTAACAGTTGTCTACTGTTGCCTATCGCCGCTGCCTTTTCCATCGCTCTTGCTTTATATACCTACCACTGTTCGCGGTCATTGCGTAGGCTTTTATCAACCTGTGCTTAAGCTGACTCCCCTCTACTTCAGGTTCAGAGCCAGACAGGATCAGCCTCCGAAAATCTATCAGTCCGGTAGATGCTACTGAAATCCACCGCTTCTCCCTAACCTTGTGGTTTGTTTAGAGCAGTTTAGCATAGTCTGAATCTAAACAAGTGCTCCAGAATGAGCGGCAGTCTTCAATAAAGCCTATCCACCGAAGACTGATAGCAGTGTGGTCTAGTTGGGTCCATCGTTGTGTCGGCTTTTGGGGTCACCATGTCAAGAGATGTGATTGCTTATGCTTGAAGTTGGTGTTTGCTAGAAATGGGCGACTATCTGAAGGCAGTTGCAGCAGGCGGTCGCCGTTATTTGATCTCTGAGCCACGTCACCATAAGATCCACCCAGATGTATTTCCTTTTCGCTCAGTCTAGCTACTTGAGCATTGAAGTCATCAGCCATTATGACTACATCAGAGCGCTTAGTTTTTGAAAGGAGGTCCAAAAGCTGTCTGTAAAACTCGTTTTTAACCTCGTCTGAACTGCAGCTGGTGGAGCGTGGGTGGAGACAACAACAATGACGAGTGTTCCTATCATTATGCGTTCGTATTGTCCGGTTTAGTCGGTCAGTACTATACCTACACCAGCGAGGCCATGGTAAGTAATAGCAGGGATTACAGACACACGAAGCATAAACCAAGTTGGTCCTCTATCTAGACGAGGTGAAGTCAAATAAATTTATCCACTCGGATCCTATATGCGCAGAGCCCAAGGCACAACTGTTTGAGGCTGGTCACGCACGGCATTTTTATTTGAAGTTCTTAAAGTGTTAGCTCCGTACTTTTTAAAAGGTCTTAATGCCAGGGTCGGAAATCCGTGATGTAGGGTGAGGTGTGATATTTCTAGGGCCGACAATTTCTAACCCGTTCCGTCCTTGTGAGAAGGCAGCATCTCTGCAGATGCTGGTAGTCTGATGAAAACGACTTGCCGTTGTTACACCCCCTTACAGTCAGCAGTACGACTTCGCCCTCGGACCTTGAGTAGATCATAAGAAAGCGTGGAGGCCGAACCAAGACGTAGCATCAGTCCATAAGAATGCTGACTTTTTGACTGAGCTGCGTAGGTTGGTAAAGGCTATTTCGTTGGTGTCCACTTTATTTTCGTACTCAGTGATCGAGGACTCTGGTGAGATTGCTCAAAATCATTCGTTTGAACTATATTACAGGAGGACTTTATTCTCACCGTAGATCTGAAGCTTCTAAATTCTTAATAAACTCTTGTTTTACTAATTTATAATACTTCTCAAATTATATCGTGAATGCCTGATCTTTTCTTTCCACACTAATGCTGTTACTAACTTTAGTACTATTTGATTAACCCTGAAAATTTCATCTCTTTGTTTTACTGAAGTAGGGTGAACCGATGTTCACAAGTGTCATGTTCTACGCTGCATATGACTAGTTACCGAAGATTAATTACAGTTTATCAGTAGATGTTTCTGTAAATACTACTATTGCTTGTCAAAGAGTGTTGATAGTTACGAAACAGACAGCCAAACAGATACAGCACAGAAATTCGTACATAAGTACATCAGTTCAGGTTGATAGCGATAGTAGAACTATTAGCAGCAATTGAGAAGATTAGGGAGCCAAGATATGATTCGAAAAGTGTAATTCAGTGAGATAAATTTAGAAGGAGAAAGGTAGAGATTATGAGGAATTCCGAAGGTTAGAATTAAAAAACACACAAAGAGTCGATGCACCTGCGCCATTGCAAATGGTTTTGAGCAATGTCACTCAAGGTCTGTAACCATTGGTGACTTTCGTCTCCCGGAAGCCAACTAGGTAGTCAACAATTACCGACATGGCCAAGTCCACTCGTCAATGACTTCATGGATTTGTGCCATGTTTTGGTTTGGCCACCCCTAACTTTCTTCCAACCTACTCCCACGGCACAAAACATAGCTCTTCGAGGCAGTCGGTGGTTAGGCTTACGTACCACATGTCCCAACCACCGCAACTGATGAAGTTTCACTACTTCATCTATTGATTTGCCTTCCCTACCTAGTACTCGTTTCCTAACGGTAGCATTGCTTACTCGGTGGTCCCATGATATACAAGCAATGCTTCTAAGACATCTTTGATCGAAGACTAGAAATCTACGAATGTTCTCTACTCTTACGAAACACTTTAATATGGAATCGTTTTATAACTATTGTTAATAATTCATTACAACAGAATCGCCTTGAAATCACTTCTGTTCTTCACATGTTCAAATGTAACATGTGAAAACAATATTTTTTTCACGCCAAACAACGTATTACAACATGCTGTTTTATTTTTAAGGGAGAAAGGTTATCACAGGATATAAGAACATCGAATGATTTCATGATTACTTATTGTGTTTTCTTTTTAAATGTGACAGCTGAAAAGATTTTGAAATTTTGATCTTGTCTTTTCGTTTGTTTGTTTTCACTCATTCTTGATTTAAAATTGAAATAGAAATAATTCTTCAAGTCTCGATTTGTTTTATCAATATTGATATCGATAATTTTACATAATTATGAAGAGTATGTGATGGTAGTATTGATTATAAGTCTCTCATGACTGATTATTAGTGTACGTTTTATCAAACTAAATAAATATTGAAAAATTAAATTATCGTGGTTCTTGCTTCGTTTTTATGGTACACTCTTCTATCTAACTATATATTTTATTAAGTAGCTACTTGTATTTACAATGAAATTAATTTATTGCACCTGTTAATTCGGTGATAACTTGGGAACCATGTCTTGTAGAGTCAATGATCATTCATTGATCTAAACATCTAGGTTTCATTTATTCAATCATAGCCTCATATCCTTCACTAATAAATTTAATTTGTGTAGTCGACAGATATCTTTACTAGCATGGTGAGGAAATTCTCAGAGTTCTAGTTAGAAGACGTGATGAGTGTAGTTCAACCTTGTCGGGTGTAGACAGTAACTACCGAAGATAAATGGTTGAGGTCGCGCAAAGTTCCTAGATTGATCGGAGTTAGACATTAACACCGTTGGTTGCCGGCACAGCAATGCAGAGGTTAGGTGTTCGCGCGCAAGACCGAAGGTCCTGGGTCCGAATCCTGTGAGGTGCAGGAGTCGTGGATGCGCACTGATGATGAGTCCCATACTAGGACGAAATGGCCGTCCAGTGCTTCCAGGTTCCTAATGGTGTTCTAACAATGATTGATTGGTGATTTAAATGTG